AAATAGAAAGGGTTATAAAAGAAGACTATGAACAACTGTATGCCAACAAATTGCATTATCTAGATGAAATGGACAAGTTTCTAAAAACACACAATCTACCAACAGTGACTCAAAAAGAAAAACAAAGTCTCGACAGACCTATGACAAGGAAGAAGATTGAAATCAGAAATCAGAAACCTCCCAACACGGGGCCGGCCCGGTGGCACAGCGGTTAAGTGTGCACATTCTGCTTTGGCAGCCTTGGGTTTGCCAGTTCAGATCCTGGGTATGGACATGGCACCGCTAGGCAAGCCATTGCTGTAGCAGGCATCCCACATATAAAGTAGAGGAAGATGGGCATGGATGTTAGCTCAGGGCCAGTCTTCCTCAGCAGAAAAGAGGAGGATTGGCCCCAGATGCTAGCTCAGGGGCTAATCTTCCTCAAAAGAAAAAAGAAAAAGAAAAAGAAAAGAAACCTCCCAACATAGGAAATCTCAGGACCAGATGCCTTCACAGGTGAGTTCTACCAAGCATTTAAAGAAGAATTAACACCAATCCTTCTCAAACTCCTCCAAGACATTGAAGAGGAGGGAATACCTCCTTTTTTTTATTTGCAGAGGAAGATTCGCCCTGAGCTAACATCTATGCCAGTCTTCCTCTATTTTGTATGTGGGTTGCTGCCACAGCCTGGCTGCTGACAAGTGGTGTAGGTCTGCACCCAGGAACCGAACCCAGACTGCTGAAGAAGAGTGTGCCAAACTCAACCATTAGGCCACCAGGACTTGCCTGGGAATACCTCCTAACTCATTCTATGAGACCAGCATTATCCTGATATCAAAGCCAGACAAAAAACAATGCAAGAAAAGGAAATTGAAGGCCAATATCCCTTATGAATATAATATAAATGCAAAAATCCTTGGGCCAGCCCCGTGGCTGAGTGGTTAAGTTTGTGCGCTCCACTTCGGCGGCCCAGGGTTTTGCCAGTTCGGATCCTGGGTCCGGACATGGCACTGCTCATCAGGCCACATTGAGGCAGCGTCCCACATGCCACAACCAGAAGGACCCACAACTAGGAATGCACAATTATGTGCCAGGGGGCTTTGGGAGAGAAAGGAAAAGTAAAATGTTAAAAAAAACAACAAAACCTTCAACAAAATACTAGCAAACTGACTTCAGCAGCATATTGAAAGGATTAGACACTATGACCAAGTGGAATTTATCCCTGAATGGAAGGGTGGTTCAATATACAAAAATCAAATAATACACAGCATTAATAGAAGGAAGGGAAAAAACCATGATTACCTCAACTAAGGCAGAAAAATAATTGGAAAAAATCCAACACTCTGAAAAACATGTAACAAACTAGGAATACAAAAGAGCTTTCTCAACATGAAAAAGGCCACTTATGAAAAACCCACAGCAGACGTCCTACTCAACGGTGAAAGACTGAAGGCTCTTCCCCTAAGATCAGGAACGAATCAAGGATGCCCAGTTTCAGCACTTACAGTCCACACGGTACTGGAAACTCCCGCCTGAGCAATAAGCAAGAGAGAAATAAAAGGCATCAGAATTGTATAGGAACAATATTTTATGTAGAAAGCCCTAAAGAATCCCCAAAAACCTGTTAGAACTAATAAATGAATTCATTAAAGTTGCAGGGTCCACAACACATAAAAATCAGTTGCATTTCTTTCTTTCTGTTTTTTTTTAGGAATGTTAGCCCTGAGCTAACATCTGCTGCCAATCCTCTTCTTTTTGCTGAGGAAGATTGGCCCTGAGCTAACATCCTTGCCCATCTTCCTCTACTTTATATGTGGGACGCCTATCACAGCATGGCATGACAAGCAGTCTGTAGGTCCACAGCCGGGATCCAAACTGGCGAACCCAGGGCTGCCACAGGGGAACATGAGAACTTAACCACTGTGCCCCCGGGCTGGCCTCTATTACATTTCTATATGCTAGAAATGAATAATCTGAAAAGGAAATTAAGAAAACAATTCCATTTACCATGGCAACCAAAGAATAAAATACTTAGGAATAAATTTAACCAAGGAGATAAAAGTTTTGTATGTTGAAAACTTCAAAATATTGCTGAAAGAATTAAATACCTGAACTGGAAGAGTTAATACTGTTGAGATGACAATACTACCCAAAGGGACACACAGATTCAACACAATCCCTATCAAAATCCCAATGGAGTTTTTTTGCAGAAATAGAAAAATCTATCCTAAAATTCATATGGAATCTCAAGGGATTCCAAATAGCCAAAACAATCTTGAAAAAGAAGCACAAGCTGGAGGACGCACACTACTCAATTTCAAAACTTACTACAAAATTACAGTAATCAAAACAGTGTGGTCCTGGCAGAAGGACAGACATACAGGCCAATGGAACAGAACAGAAAGCTCGGAGATAAACTCTCACATATGTGCTCAACTGATTTTTGAAAAGGGCACTAAAGTCATTCAAGGAGGAAAGGGCAATCTTGTCGACAAATGGTGCTGGGAAACTGGATTTTCATATGCATGAGAATGAAATTAGACCCCTGCCTTATACCAGAGATAAAAATGAACTCGAAATAGATCAGATCTAAATTTAAGAGCTACAACTATAAAATTCTTAGAAGAAAACATAGAGGAATATCCTTATGACCTGAGATTTAGCAATAGTTTCTTAAATATGATACCAAAAGCACTGGCAAGTAAATAAAAAAATAGGAAAATGAAGAGGGGAAGGGGGTTGGGTGATGGGCAAAAGGGGTAAAGGGGCACATACATATGGTGACAGATAAAAACTAGACTATTGGTGGTGAGCATGATGTAGTCTATACAGAAACTGATAAATAACAATGTACACCTGAAATTACACAAGGTTAAACCATTATGACCTCAATAAAATAATTTAAAAAAAAACAGGGAGCCAGCCCTGATAGCCTAGTGGTTAAAGTTTGGCACTCTCTGCCTCAGGGGCCTGGGGTTGGTTCCGGGTGCAGACCTACACCCCTCTGTTAGCGGCCACGCTGGGCTGGAGGCCCACGTACTAAAAAACAGAGCAAGGTTGGCATGAATGTCAGCTCAGAGCAAATCTTCCTCACCAAAGAAACCAAAAACACCTACTACGATACCTCAAGGACAAAAGAGACAGACAACCCAACTGAAAAATGGACCAAGGACTCAATGTCTGCAAAGAAATGGCCAATAAGTCCACGAAAAGATGCACAGCTTCATTAGTCATCAGGGAAATCCAAATCCAAACCACCACAATGCACTTCACACCCACTAGGAGGGCTGTTATTAAACACGTACACACGCACACACGCTAACAAAATGGGAAATAACAAGTGCTAGTGAGGATGTGGAGAAACTGGAACTGCGGGGGAAGAAGAAATTTCCCTCTGCCTTTCTAAGTTCTTCTGGGCGGTTTAAGAATGAAATTGACATGAGACAGATTAATAGGAGAAACTCAAATTTAATTTCCTTTGTACAGGGACCCCAGATGCATGAGAGTTTCACAGACTGAAGGGTAAAATGAGCTATATACGCCATCTTGAGCTAAGAACGGCATAGGGGCTGAGGCTGCAGAGGGGAGGAGAGTAATTCACGAGATGATAAGAAAAACAAATGTGCAGTAATCAGAGGCTTGCTGTGCCATACAGATGGGTCATAAAAATTTATTTCTGGTAATAACTCTTTTTATGGGCAAGGCCCCCAATTTAAATTCTTTAAGGGAGAGGGAAAAGTTTCTCTTGAGCCCACAGGGTCTCAATTGTCTTTAGCTCAAAATAGTCCACGTGCACATCTTGAGGGGGCTTGTTCCGAACCCGAGAACCCCCGAGCATCCCTAGTGGGAATGTCAAATGGCATGCAGCATAAAATGTGGGAAACAGTTTGGTGGCTCCTGGAAAAGTTAAACAGAACTACCACACGACCCAACAATTCCACTTGTAGGTATACAGCTAAAAGAAATGAAAACACGGACTCAAATAGATCCCATACTCGAATGTTTCTAGCAGCGTTATTCACAATAGCCACAAGGTGGAAATGACCTAACAGATGAACCGATAAACAAAATTCCATATATACACACAATGGAATACTATTCAGCCATAAAAATGAATGAATTTCTGATACATGTACAACATGTAACATGGAAAACATGGTAAATGAAATATGCTATTCACAAAAGGACAAATATTGTATGATTCCACTTTTATGAAAGTGGGAAGAGGCAAGTTCACAAAGACAGACAGTAGAATGGAGGTTACCAGGAGCTGGGGTGAGAAGAAAATGGGGAGTTACTCCTTCATGGATAGTTTTTGTTTGGGTGATGACAAAGTTCTGAAAATATCATTATAGGTAGTGGTGATGGTTACACAACATGGTGAATGTACTTAATATCACTGAATTATACACTTAAAAATGGTTACGGGGCTGGCCTGGTGGCGCAGCGGTCAAGTTCGCACATTCTGCTGCTCAGTGGCCCCGGGTTTGCCGGTTCAGCTCCGGCTGTGGACATAGCATCGCTTGGCAAAAGCCATGCTGTGGTAGGCGTCCCACATGTAAAGTAGAGGAAGATGGGCACGGATGTGAGGTCAGGGCTGGTGTTCCTCAGCAAAAAGAGGAGGATTGGCAGCAGATGTTAGCTCAGGGCTAATCTTCCTCAAAAAAAAAAAAAAAAGGTTAAAATGGTAAATTTTAGGTTATACATACTTTATTACAGGAAAACAAAAACAAAATCCATACCCAACCGAGACTTTTTCTTGGACTAGTTAGAAAGCCTGGAAGAGCACGTTAAAGGGAAAGCTTTTTCAGGATTTAGGTCATTCTGGCTCAACAGGACCAGGGCAGATGAGCAGGTTCACTCCCAAGCAAGCTTCCAGAGACTGCACTATTAAACCAGAGCACGCATTCACCCAGCCACGGCTCAGAACGAGAAACAGAAACGTCAGATGGACCCACGGGGCTTTTGTTCTCAGCTGTTTACGTTCTGTCTGCAAACCGTAAAGAAAGGGAAATCCCTACCTAGACGGGGATTTCCCCGCCGGCTGGGAGCGGCCGAGCCTGCAGCGGGGTGTGGAGCGTCGTCGGCCCTTTCTCCCACCTCCGCACCCAGCACCTAAGCGCTTCACAACACTCCTTCGCCACGTGCCTCGGAGCTTTCCAGGGACGCTCCGCGCCGGCGGGCCCCGGGCCACCGATGACCCGGATAAGCCGGGACGAGAGCCTGCGGGAAGGGCCGGCTCCGGTGCAGGGCGGAGGAGGACTTCCGCCCCGCCTGGGAACCGTGGCCCGGGGATGCAAGGGAAGTGACGAGCTCGCGGGCTCTGCCGGCGGCGCCCCGAGCCCGCGCCCGGCGAGTCCCGGGAGGCGGCCCCAGAGCGGGGCAGCGGGAAAGGATGCCCCAGGTGACGCATCCGGCCCACCTGGCGGCCCGAGGGCCAGCCTAAAGGGACCGTGCAACGGAAAGCCCAGGCCGCCCGAGCAGCACGGGAGACGGCAGAGAGAGACAGCTAGAAATCTTGTTGTGGGGAGAACACGCGTGTGTATGTATACGCACACATCTATCGCTACATCTGTGGATCTGTCTCTATCATGGTGTGGGGGAGGCTTTTCCGACCATCTATAACACCGAGGACATAAAGAAAAACACAGGTAACTTTGACCACGTAAAAACGGAACTTGAATATAACAGCAACACAAAGAAATGTCACAGTCAAAAGGCAAACCGGGGATATATTTGTAATACACGTAAGGAAAGGTGAATTTCTTTCACTTGTTACAGTGTATTCACACAAGAGAATAAGGAAAAACAGCCAAGGACCTAATTGTGAAAATGCAAACAACATGAATGTTGTCTGCAGAAACATAAATGTAAATGACTAATAAAAAGATGCCCAACTTTGTTCAGAATGTGCCTATCAGAACTGCTACAAAAAAACGGCTACTTTTCACGGAAACTGGGCAGGTGTGGAGGAAACAGGCATTTTCATAGCCTGTGTGTACAGCGGTACAATCTTTCTGGAGGGCCAGTTGGTCATGTGGATCACAATTTTAGGTGAACCGATCCTTTGATGTGATCATTTTGCTGCTAAGAATTTGCTTTAAAAACATACTCATAAAAATATGCCAAACAACAATGCAGGAAAAATACAAGAAACCTAACATCCATTGTTATGGGATTTATTAGAAGAACATGCATAGTATCATCTCATTTCTATCTACTTATTTTATTTTGTGTTTTATGAGTTTTTTTTAATTGAGGTCACACTGGTTTGTTATATATTTTTAAAGGATGGAAATATACTCAGTATAGGAATAATCTTTCTTTTTTTTTTTCTGGAAGGATGCCCTCGATTAGAGGTGTTAGAAGGCTAAGAGAGCCCCCTTTTGAAAACCATATTTATGTTCTTTTCTTTTCTTTTTTTGCTGAGAAAGATTTGCCCTGAGCTAACATCTGTGCCCATCTTACTCTATTTTGTATGTGGGTTGCTGCCACAGCATGGCCGCTGCCAGTGGTATAGGTCTGTGCCTGAGAACCAAACCAGGCCACTGAAGCAGGGCACACTGAACTTGACCACCAGGCCACTTGGCCAGCCCTCCATGTTATTTTATTTTTTAAAATTCCATCCATCCTTTAACATCCATTGCAATGCTACCACCTCTATAAAAAATTTTCTGCTTCGTCTCCAACCTTCTTGTGCCATCTCATGGCATCTACTGAATGTTCCCTGGATTTGATTCACTTTTCATATCTGCCTGGATGAGATGGCTGTAGTCTACAAACAGACAGCAGTAGTTAGGCATTCAGGCTTGGACACAGGCTGATTTAGATTAGAATCTGCATTTTGCCACCTGTGTTTCCTTGGCTAAGTAACTCAACCTCTCTGGGCCTTATCGGCATATACGGAGGTTCTAAGCAGCCACCACAGGGGGCTGTTGAGGGCCTGCAATGAGATAATCTATTAAGTGTTGAGCAAAGTGGTGGCACCAAAGGAATGCTTAATAAATGTTGGCAGTTATTTACATTTCTGGAGGACAGAGACAGTTTCTGGGGCTGTCTAGAACTTAACAGCTGCTCCGATTCTTTCCTGTCGCTCACTCTGCCCATCGCCTTCCCCAGTGACCGCGGGCCAAGCTGGGTTCCTCTGGCATTGGCCAGCACAGTTTGCTGGGATGAATGACGTCAGTCTAAGGCCCCAGGCACAACCCAAAGCCTGGCCAGCCCCTTCTACGGGTGCAGGGCAAGGGAGAGGATGAGCCTACACCTCCCCACTGCTGGGAAAACAATGACAAGTGCTTGACACACTGATGGTGGGCTAATTTCATGTCTGAACAGCATCATTATTATCAGCCTTTTCTTCCTCCTCCAATCCGTTCTTCAAAAATTCCCTTATTCTTAGACGAAAACTTTCCCAAGTATATCTACCTTAATTATAATAAACACACGGTCTCAAAGGGGGTTAAAAGGGTTGCAATGATTCACCAGAAAAAGTGGACAGGCTCGGTAAATGAAAAGATAAAGAATCAAGAAACTGGATGTTAAACTAATATTGCAAATAAAGAGAGAAAACATTTTTAAAAGAAAATTTGGGGGTTCAGATCCGGGGTGTGGACCTACACCACCTGTCAGCTGTGCTGTGGTGGCGTCCCACATATATGTGGAGGAAGACTGGCATGGATGTTAGCTCAGGACTAATCTTCCTCAGCAAAAAACCCAAAAAAGCAAGGTATTTCTTTATTTAGAAAAGAAACATGGAAATTTTGTTCGTAGGATAATTTTAAATAATGTTTTGAATGCTAAATTATATCATGTAATATTTATATAACACTTAAGAGTTTATAAAGTATTTTCATTTACATAGCCTCTGATTCCCCCAAATCCTTGAGGAAGGCAGAGAAAATATTTTAGAAATTTTATTTTTTTACTTATTTTTTATTTTTAAAAATTTTTTTAAAGATTGGCACCTGAGCTAACAACCGTTACCAATCTTTTTTTTTCTGCTTTATCTCCCCAAATCCCCCTGGTACGTAGTTGTATATCTTAGTTGCAGGTCTTTCTAGTTGTGGCATGTGGGACGCCACCTCAATGTGGCCTGATGAGCAGTGCCATGTCCATGCCCAGGATCTGAACCGATGAAACCCTGGGCCGCCACAGCAGAGCTCGCGAACTTAACTACTTGGCTATGGGGCCAGGCCTGAGATTTTACTTTTTAAAAATGAAGTTACAGGTGGGCCCCATGGCCTAGTGTTTAAGTTCAGCATGTTCCACTTTGGCAGCCCAGGTTTGGTTCCCGGGTGTGGACGTACACCACTCAATGGTGGCCATGATGTGGCGATGACCCACATAGAAAACAGAGGGAGATTGGCACAGATGTTAGCTCAGGGTGAATCTTCCTCAGCAAAAAAACAAAATTACGTTACACAAGAATTACAAGAATATTAACATAATACTAAATAGAATATAGCATTCATCTAAATCCTGTTAAGCCAACAAATAAAACTGTTTATTTCAACTGATGTTGTATGAATATTAGGCTCATTGCATAGGGCAGATGGTTGCACAAAAGGCAGAGCAAGAACTGGAAGGTCTATTTAGATCACATGTACATTATTAATTATTATGAATAAATTATAACTTGGAAGAGGTTTTTTTCCCCCTCATCTTTGGAAGAGTTCTATAAAAGGTCATTCATCCAGGATTCTAAATACTCAAATTATACGAACAAAAAACTGCTCAAAATAGTGTTTTATAATTGGTTTAAAAAGCGCCCTTGTCATAACAAAGGAGTTATCTGCTAGACTGCAGACACTCTTCCGACAGCTAAAGATGTCACTGTGGCCCCATCCACGTGATCTGTGCACATCCTGACCAGGAACACTCCCCTAAAAGATCACACTGCTCTCTGACCAATGACATATATTTACATCCCATACTTGAAATATACTGTACTAGGTCCACTGTAGAGAAAAATCAAGAAATTGGACCTGGAAGATATTGGGCCTGCATCAAGCAGCATTATGGGAAAAAAGACCTGATCAGTATTCATTAAAAGACTGGATGTGTTGCAAAAAATGGATGCGTCAAGAGTATCTCAACTTTCGCTAGAACTATGGTTTTGGGCAATCTAAAATATATGAGAGTCATAACAAGATTAAATGTTTTAAAGAGCATCTTAAAAAAAAGATCATCTTAAATGATTGCAACAAGAGTGACCTTGACCAAGCATGGTTCTGTCTGCAGGGGTGGTCAGGGTTTCCTATCCAGGGTGGGTCCCATGATAATGGAGAAGGCAGACTCCAGATACCAAGTAGCAACAACCCAAGGAGAAGGTGATCATTCTTCCAGACTGGTGAAGACATTCAAACATCGCCACGTCTCTTGCCGTTTCAAAGCAGTCCACAACGATGTAAGCTCCGAGTCTGCGTGAAGACGCATTTGAGTTGGCTGATGGGCTCACACTTGGTCTAGATCCATCTCCAGCCTGGCCGAGGCGTGCTTGACTTGGCTTTGTCTCCCCCAGTATACAGTAGAACGGAGGTGTCACGTTATATGGGCACTCATCTGCAGGGTTGCACATACTAGGTTAAACATTAAGCAAAGACAGAACTATTTGAAACAATTTGAAATGAATAACGTGCAACATTCTGCCAGCTTGGCCTCCGTGCGCTGCCATCTTAAGTGAGCGTGAGCCGAGCCGCGATCTGCTCTTCCTGCCGTCTCAGTCTTGGTACACACATGTTGTGATGTTGAGTGTGATTCTAAACAAAGTAAATTAAGTGTGAGTTAAACAAAGGAGGATTCCATACAAACACTATCCCTAAATACAAATCAGTCATTTTTTAAATATGTTGCTCAACCCAAAAAACAGCAGACAGATATTACGTTGGAAAAATGACTGGCTGTGCTGCAGAAAGATGTTATTCAAGGTGGCTTCTAGCTATGGTCACAGTTAATGTGGCATACTGCATCTAGCATCAGAGCATCTGTACCAACCGAAGGGAGAAAGTGGCTAAGGAATAGCAACAAGTGTACCAATTACAGCCAGGTGGTGAGTCAGACCTTAAGGAAGATGGAAAAACCATGAGATTTCTGATCGTAAGGCACGAATTTGAGGGTTACACCTGTCAAGAGCAGTACGCTGAGAAGGCTTGGCCTCTACACTCTTCAAACCACCCACTGTTCATTGTCCCCAGATGGCCTGCTTTCTGTCTAGAGGCAACTCAAAACCAGCTAAAGTTTTAGGAACTGCTTCAACCTCAAGGAAGTTGGAGCTGTTCACCACGACACAGCAAAATTTCACTCGGAACTGGCAGACAAATTCAAAGGAAGGGACTCTCTCCCTAATAAGTTTTGAAGGATGACAAGGGTAACCTGGGCTAAACAAACGAACTTTTGCCTTACTCACTCACTTTCTCACACCTTCCAATGCTACGCCGTGACTCCCCCACCCAGTGAATCCTCCTTTCACAGTCCTGAACCTCCCAGTCTCCCCAAGAAGGAATGATTATTCGAGAGGACTCCAGTCCCTCCATAACACATACTCACCCATGCCCACAGCAGCTGAATGTTTGCAGCTGGCTGGCTGGCGGCTCTTACTAGCTAAGCTGTAGGCTTCTCAAGAGTTATGACTGCTCCTAAATATATGTCAGTTGTACTTGCTATTGGGAATACGGAATTCAATTAAATATTCCAAAATGTTAATGAAATATGAGTGCAAAAAGAAAACTGTTCTTCTGAAAATTAATACTGTGGAGAGACTTGACAAGGGAGAGTCAACGATCGAATTAGGTGGGGCTAAAATGACTGTTAAAGATTGTAGGGGAAATCACAAAAACGTAGCAGTTTTCTGTCATCAGACCGCCTCGCACGGATCTTTAAATTTTCCGTCTCTTTTAAAGAGATCCAAGATGGAAATTCGAGACGAGGCTTTATGGGTGCGGTCTAGGGAAGAAAGAAGACGGGGAACGCCAATCCGTGAACCCAAATTCAAAGGAAGGCTTTTGGACCGACATCAAAAGACTGGCTGCTCGGAAAGTTTTATTTCGAGCGACAAAGGCCCGCGGGCTGGAAAAAGCGCCGTGGTCGCCACCTACCGAGGAGGGGGCTGGGGGAGAACTGCGGCGGGGCCCGCAAAGCCGGCGGGCAGAAAGGTCACCGAGTCGCTCGACTTCGTGCTTTACAGAAACACCTAAAATCTCCGGGCTCGAGTTTTTAAACTTTGGAGTTTAACTTCGGCGAACAGCAACGTCTCGCTATTTTGGAAATTCACGAGCTAATCAAAGTTGAGAGGCAAAAAAATGATCGGGGGGAGGGGTTTGAGCAAAACTGCTCCGCGGTTGACAGAACAAAACGGGCGACAAATCAGCTTTCCTGCTCCCACTCCACGGCTTTTCCTCAACTTTCCTTCTAAACGTTGAGTATGAGACGGAGTGTGAGCAAAGCCGGGGTCGGGGGGATCAAAACAGGAGAGTCCCCTCGCCTCGCCCTCCAAAGTTGGGGCAGCAGTCTCCTGGGGCCGCTTTGGAGGCAAGCTTTCAAAACGGACAGTTCTTTGTGTCCCGGGGGTGGGGGTGCAGGGCGGGGACGTCCCTTGGCGGAGCACCCAGGGCAGCAGGCCGGCCCGGGGCTCCCCGGCCTTGGCCGCGCTCCGGCCTCGCAATCTGCAGGGAATCTCGGGGGCCAGAGTCAGCGCGAGCGTCGCACGGCGGCAGAGGCCGGCGGCAGCGCGGCGGGGAGCAGGCTGGAGCCGCCCCCGGCCTGGATCTGCGCCCCTGCGCCCCGGCTCCCCTCCCCCACCCGGGCAGCCGCGCAGGCCCCAGGTGCAGCCATGTTCTTGCTCCCACCACCCGCGCCTCCATTGACAGTCCTTGCCGGAGAGGGCCGGGCGCCGCTCTCGCCGCGTCCTCGGGCTCCGGGCTCGCCGGCGCGAGGCTTTCTGGGAGTCGTAGTCAACTGCCCCCGCCGTCGCGTTGTTGGGGACGAATCAGAAACTACAATTCCCGCTGGGCGGCGCTGCTGGTGCGCACGCGCAGCGCGCCTTCGAGGAACAAAAAAAAAAAAAAAAAAAGAGGAGGAGGAGGGTGAGAGAGAAGCTCGGAGAGCAGAGAAAAGGGGCCACCGGTCGCCCCCCCGCTTGCCCGCACGCGCTCTCCAGCCGTGGCCTTCCGCCTGCCGCGGTTACCCTGGCCTCTCCCTCGGTCCCCTGTGATCAGATCTAGGTGCTGAGCGAGGCCCTGCCGGGGCGGCCATGCGGCGGTGACAGGAGCGCGGCCGAGACGCACGGGCCCCTCGCCCTCTCACCTCCAGCGCGCTCGTCAGCTCGCCTCAGCCCGAGGCTGCTCCGCCGCGGCCGCGGCTCGCGCGCGGCCCACACTCGCTTCCCTTCGCCTCCCCCGGCCCGGCGCTGCCTGGAGGCGGCTGCACTCGGGTGAGTCCCTGTCGCCTCATCCCCCGCCCCCGCCCGGTTGCCATCGCGAACAGGGCCTTTATTTGGGACTCGCCCCCTTCGGGGCCTGCAGGGACAGGGGTCGGGGCGGCCATGTAGGGGCCCCCAGCTCCGGGCCCGCGGTCGTTGGGGGTGGGGCAGGGGCAGACGCGGTCGCGGGGGACGGCAGTTGCACGCGCGTGGGGGAGGGGCGCGCGCGCCGGCGTGGGGGGGCCTCACGCGTGAGCCCCGCGCGCGAGCGAGCCCGCGGGCTGCGCATGCCCGGCCGCTGATTGGCCGGCGCGGCGGTGCGGGTGCGCGCGCGGTGCCAGGCCCGAGCCGTGGGGTCGCGCTCGGCCGGGTGTCTCCGGGGCTCGTGCGCCCGGGCAGCAGACGCGCCGGATTGGCCGGCGGGCGGCGGGGGCGGCGCCGCGCTGCCTGGTAACTGCGGCCGGCGGGCGGGCCCGCGAGCGCCGCCCCTCCCGCCCCTGCCCGCGCCCAGGTGGAGCCCCGAGTGGGCTTTGTCCCGGGCACGGCCGGCGCTCCTGCCCCCGGGGTCTGCTCTTGGGGGAAATCAGCACAATGACCGGAAGGAAAGCCTCAGCCTCCAGGCCGCGGAAATAAGCCGCCCGGAGTCGGCCGGCACCCAGACTGGGGTTTAGGAGAGGAAGAAGCCGAAACGCTGCCCTGTCCCTTCCCTGCCCCTCCGCTTGTGCTTTTCCAAGTTTTGCCTTTTAGTGAACGAGGTTTTGGGATTTTAGTGTTACGGTTCTGCGCCCCTTTGCGGCCCAGCGCGCTCGGACGCCGGGTCCCGTTAGGGACGGCTCCCTCCGGCGAGGGCGGGGCCCGTGCCGCCGCCGCACCTCCGCGCTCAACTTTGCGCGGACAATGGCTCCTGATAGGCCGCCGCGCTTACAGCGGGCGCCGGGGGCTCGGGCCGCAGAAGGGAAGTCACTTCGCAAATGAGCGTGCCCTGAGCGAGCCCGGACTTTTCCCGAGGCGAAGGCCTCCCGCTTGGGACGCCCCGTTTCATTTCCCGCTGCTGTTTTGCTTGTCCCGGCCTCAGCCGCTGCGGGCTGCCTCCTTGCCCTCGCGCTTCGCCTGCGTCTTAGAATCTTGGCGCACACCTGGAGGCTGGGGTGACCTTTTCTTCTCTGTAGCTTGTGGAACTCATTCGGAGTCACTGTAACATTTTCTCGGTCAGAAATTCTTCTTCGTACAGTGTCCCTATGAACTTGTTCGCCCCTCTTGGGAGGGCGTCTTTATTTCCTCTGAGTGTGTGGTTTTGCCGTGTGTACGCGTGTCTGGCCTGGTCACTAGGTATTTAACTCCTGGATGGGTAGGGATTAAGCCTCCGCCTTTGGCGCTCTCCCCCATCCGGTGTGCAGCCGTCAGAGTGCCTTGTGTATACTAGGAACGACGGCTAGCTTTTGGATGTTTCTTATGTGCCCGGCATCGCTTTTAAGCACTTAACTATTATGTTTTCTTAATTTCCTCACAACCTTCCGGTAATTTCACTTTATAGATGAGGAATAAGCCCAGAGAAGCTGTGTAATTTACTCTTCGTTACCCAGCAAGTAAACCCTGACTCCAAGATTTGAACCTAGGCAGTAGGACCCTTAACCCCTAAGCAGGTGGTTCTCAGACTCCAGCGCCATCAGCATCCCCTAGAGGGCTCGTTGACACACTCGCTGGGCCCCGCCCCAGACACTCCGATTCTGCAGGTCTGGGGTGGGGCCCGGCAATTTGCATTTGTGACTAGTTCCCAGGTGGTGCTGATGCTGCCGCTCCAAAGACTGCTCACCATGGTGCAAGTTAAGTTATAAGTGAGGGAAATTTATTCCAGATGTTTGCTCTTCATTACTTTAAAACTAGATCTTAACCAAAAATAATTTGGACCGCCTACTGTAGATTGCTTGGAAAACTGATTTGAGAGCTAAGGTTTTTTGTTAGCCCTGGTTAGAAAATTGAAAGTTTAGGTGGCGCAGCGGTTAAGTGTGCACATTCCCCTTCAGCGGCTCAGCGGTTCACCTGTTCGGATCCCGGGTGCGGACATGGCACTGCTCAGCAAGCCATGCTGTGGCAGGCGTCCCACGGATAAAGCAGAGGAAGATGGGCACAGATGTTAGCTCAGGGCCAGCATTCCTCAGCAAAAAGAGGAGGATTGGCAGCAGTTAGCTCAGGGCTAATCGTCCTCAAAAAAAAAAAAAAAGTTTAGTAAGTAACCATGGGTTTAAGTAGAGAATAAAAGTAGAACTCTGAATAACTCTGGGCCCCACCCCCTTCTTCGTTTATTGATTTATTCATGGCATAGGCATTTATCTCATCCCAGAGAAGCCTGGCGCATCCCGACCCGACCACAGACTCTCAAGTCTGGGAACCCAGAAGCGGGGTGATGGGGCCTGAGCTTGGCACTAAGGTAAGGTGGCCCTAGGGCAGCAGGCAGAGCAGCCAGAACTCAGAACCGCCCCCACACCCTCAGCCTTACGCATCTCCAACGATTTGGCTTACTGTTAAGAATATGACTCCAAGGGCTGTCCCCGGCCCAGTGGTTACAGTTGTGTGTGCTCCGCCTTGGCGGCCCAGGTTCACAGGTTCGGATCCTGGGTGCAGACCTGCTCCACTCATCAGCCATGCTGTGGAGGCATCCCACGTACAAAGAAGAGGAAGATGGCACAGATGTTGGCTCAGGGCAAATCTTCCTCTCACACACACCCAAAAGAATATGACTGCAGAATTTGTTGGTAAAATGGAGGTTTTCTGGTTTTGTGGGGTTTTTTAAAAGATTTTATTTTTCCTTTTTCTCCCCAAAGTCCCCTGGTACATAGCTGTGTATTTTTAGTTGTGGGTCCTTCTAGTTGTGGTGTGTGGGACGCTGCCTCAGCATGGCTTGATGAGCGGTGCCATGTCTGTGCCCAGGATTCGAACTGGGGACCCTTTGGCCACTGGAGCGGAGCGTGCGAACTCAACCACTGGGCCACGGGGCCGGCCCCTCGGGTTTTTTCTTCTTGGGGTGCAAGTCTTGTTGAGAAAGATTTTTAGTCTTGTTGTTATAATGCATTTCTTTCAGGGGAAAATAATTTCAGATTAGATAGGAGGAATGGGATTAGTTTACAGTTACGTTCTATCCTTTTTTATGATCTGTAGATCAGTGGTGTGTTCCAAAACAAAATCTAAAAGACAAGGTCGCTACTCCAGGTACTTAGCTAGAGGAGTGGTAAATAAAACATCGAAACACTTTACCTCTTCTGTTAGTACTGGTGACTAGCTATTTGCATTGCGTTCCACCTGATTCACTTCAACCAGTCTCATTCTTCATTGAAAACATGAGATTTTGTAATATTACAATCCCCTTCATAACTGCTGTGGTATAATTAACGTGAAATTGTCTTAACCACTGGCTTAAACAGATGCTGAAGAAGTGATTTTTGTTTCTCTCTTTTTATGTGTGAGAAGTCATACTCTGAGAGTGGTATTTCACTTTTCGAAAATGCGTTAGAAGCAGTTTACCTGAAAGACACTCGCTAAGAATTTTCTTAATGGCGGTCTACTAAAAATCCCTGGTAGCGTTTTTCCTCAGAAGTTGTGGACGTTTGAGTCAGGCGTGTCGGCTGTCAGTAACTGACAGAGAGCAGGGAAGGCAGTTCGTCAGTTCGTCGTCGAGTGGAGAGTCCTTGTGATGAGTGGGCTACAATGGCAGCACAGCAGTAGGAAGCAGCAGAGTCCGCTCACCACAGGGAGGCTGAGGCTGCCTGCCTGGAGGGGGAGAGTTAAGAAATAGTGTTTCAGAGGATGTGTGTTTGCTGGAAAAATGAATGTGGATAAATCAGATCTGCTGAGGGTTTGATGTTGATATGCTTACCTCTCCACCCTTTCCTCTTGCTTGCTTCACCATTTTCCTCCTCTCTTGTCTGTCCTTTATGGGGACTCTCACAACTGCAGTTTTCCTCTTTCTTCCTCCAGTCCTTGTCTTAGTGTCCCCTGCTTGTTTCTGGCACCGTCGCTCTGCTTTTCCCCCTTTGGCGCAGTGGGGAAGGAAGGAGGTTCGAGGCGGTCAGGGATCATCAGGGTGATGGAGGATTGGACTGAGGAGGAGTTCCTTGGTTGTCACTTGATTAAAAACCGTAGAGAATTTTTAAAGAATTTGTTTATTTGAAAACTGTAACTTGAGAGGCAACATGAATTTATAACTGAGAATAGAGAATCTGGCTTCATGGATGTAGACACAGGTTCTGAGATCAGACTGCCTGGACTCCATGCTTGCTCTTGCCACTTCCTGGTTGTGTTACTTTGGGCAGTTCGCTGCGTGTCTTTGTGTTTCAGTTGCCCTGTTTTAAAAAACGGGCATGATGATAAGAGAACCTGTTTCTGTTTTAGGATCTTTGTGAATATTGACTGAGTTAAAATGCTTGGGATGGTATCTGGTATACAGTAAGCAGTCAATAGATATTAGCCATAAACATACTATGTTTAATACTTTTGAGCAATTGAATTTTCTGAGGAAATGAAAATTTGACTAATAATGCTGACTACAAGGGTAATCTCTACAAACTCCAGAGGATATAAACTCTGAGGGCCAGGACTTGTTCTTCCTGGGGTTTTTCTCTTGACTGTTAAATTGCTTTTGTTTTTGTAGTGTAGCAAAGGACATGATTTTTTTTCCCCCTTAAAGTGCTGTGTATGATTATCTTATGGTATAGTTGTAGAAGCAGAGAGTAGTGAAGAATTTGGTCCTATTTAGGATACCTGGTTAAAATGAGCCCTGGTTAGCAGACAGAACCTGTAAATTTGTTTAATGGAGACTAACGTCTGCTTTGCAAATAGTGAATTTGTAGTTGAAAAATAGCCGTGTGGAACTGGTTATCCAACACATAAATTCACTCCACCGATTTTTTGTCCTTAGCTCTCACAAGTTTTAGAGGTAGTGCCTTCTTTCCCCACTGGGGATGTTGATATAATTGAGATAGAAACTAGTAAAGGAGTTGAAGGGTAATTGCAATTTCTTTGTCTTTATAGGACAATTAAAGCAGGTGAGGAAAGCTTAGCTATCTTATTTGTGGCCAGGCCCCAATCACATGTTTTTACCTGAAATTGATGGTTTGATTGATGAAATCTGAGAAAACTTTGCTTTTATATATGGTTTTTTATAGGGGAATTGTTTTTAGATAAAGCTTTTACTATTGACTAGAACATAAACGTGAATAGAGTTTTGTCTAGATTGGGTTTTCAGGCCAAAATCGGTTTAAAGAAAATAATGTTTTGGATCTGAACTAAAATTAACAAGTGTTAAAGACATTATTTCATTTCTGAAATGATGCTTTGACAAAGGAGGATGACAGCATGTATTATGTTCACTTTATATGTGAAGAAAGAGCTGAGAAATTGACCATAATACTGAAATTAGTTTGAAAGTTTGAAAATTGGCTAAAGGGTTACAGGGAGATCCAGTAGCCTCACTTCTTCCTTCTGTGCTTTTTTTTTTTTTTAAGATTTTTTTTTTCCTTTTTTCTCCCCAAAGGCCCCCCCCCCCCGTACATAGTTGTGTATTTTTAGTTGTGGGTCCTTCTAGTTGTGGCACATGGGACGCCGCCTCAGCATGGCTTAATGAGTGGTGCCCTGTCGGAGCCCAGGATCCGAAGTGGCGAAACCCTGGGCGACCGAAGTGGAGCGTGCAAACTTAACCACTTGGCCACGGGGCCTGCCCCCTGTGCTTTCTTTTTTGCCATTTTAAAGCATTTTAAGCATTTTTAATTCAGTGCTTTTAATTACATTCAGAATGTTGTATGACCAGCGCTACTATTTCTAAAATCTTTCTCATCACCCCAAATAGAAACTCTGTACCCATTAGATGATAATTTCCCATTTCTCCACCGCCCCCCCCCCCCCCCAGCCCCCAGTCCCTGGTAACCTCAAATCTACTTTCTGTCTCTGAATACTTCAAATCTACTTTCCGTCTCTGAATTTGTCTAGTTTAGGTATTTCATGTAAGTGGAATCATACAATGTTTGTCCTTTTGTGTCTGGCTTATTTTACTTAGCATAATGTTTTCAGGGTTCATCTATGTTGTAGCCCCAGAACTTCGTTCCTTTTCATGACTGAGTGATAGTCCATCGTATGATATACCACCTTTTATTTATCCGTTCATCTGTTGATGGATTTACGTTGTTTCTATCTTTTGCCTATTATAATATTAGCTATGAACATTGGTGTACAGGTTTTTTTTGAGTCTCTGTTTTCAGATCTTTTATGTATATACTTAAGGAGTGGAATTGTGTTTTGTTTTTAACGCTTTCCTTGGGGCAGAAGAATTTGGGTGTATCTGAACAAACTCTCAATAGCATGGAAAACTCATGTAAAATGAGCTTGTCACTTTGTGAAGAATAAATTTGTGTCTGCCATTTCCACATAAACACCTCTTTCAGGTGGTTCCTTACAGTGATTTTGAAATAAATTGTAAGATGTGCACAACACAAAAGTTACCATCTTAGGCATTTTAGGTGCCTAGTTTGTACAGTCACATGGTTGCGCAGTCAGCGCGCCATCCGTCTCCAGGACTTCTCCATCTTCCTAAACTGAAACTGCCCGTTAAACGGTAACCCCAGGCCCTCCTCCCCCAGGCCCCGGCACCCACCAGCCTACCTTCTGTCTGAATTGGAGTGTTTTTGGTACGTCATATAAGTGGAATTATTTGGTCAGTATTTGTCCTTTTGTGACTCTTATTTCACTCAGCATAATGTTCTCAAGGTTCATCCATGTTGTAGGATATGTCAGAATTTCCTTCCCTTTTTTTTTTTTTGTTTGTTTGAGGAAGATTAGCCCTGAGCTAACATTGCCATCAGTCCTCCTCTTTTTGCCGAGGAAGATTGCCCCTGAGCTAACATCTGTGCCTGTCTTCCTCTATTTTATATGCTGGATGCCTGCTACAGCATGGCTTGACAAGCAGTGCCATGTCTGCACCTGGGATCCAAACTGGCGAACCCCGGGCCGCTGGAGTGCAACATGTGAACTCAATCACTGTGCCACCAGGCCGGCCCTGTGAGAATTTCCTTCCTTTTTAATCTTTGTAGTGATTTTTGGATTTTTGAAGTTTTTGTTTTTATAGTATGGCAAAGGAAATAAAATTTTGTTTTTAAGTACTGTGTATGATTATCTTATGGTATAATTGTAGAAGTGGAGAGTAGTGAAGAGTTTGGTCCTATTTAGGGTATTTGGTTAAAATGAGCACTGGTTAGACGAAACCTGTGAAGATTTCTTTTTTTTTTTTTTTTGAGGAAGATTAGCCCTGAGCTAACTGCTGCCAATCCTGCTCTTTTTGCTGAGGAAGCCTGGCCATGAGCCAACATCTGTGCTCATCTTCCTCCACTTTATATGTGGGATGCCTACCACAGCATGGTGTGCCCAGTGGTGCCATGTCTGCACGCGGGATCCGAACCGGGAACCCTGGGCGGCCAAATCGGAACGTGCGCACTTAACTGCTGCGCCACCAGGCCAGCCCCTGTGAAGATTTCTGATTGCATGTGTCCCATAATTTTGAGAATTGCTCTGTGTGTTTTGATTCCATTTGCATACACAGTCCTTAGAGATAATGGTGTTTTTTATTATAAGTTAAAAGTTACTTCCTGATTGTGTGTTTTTGTCATGTTGATCACTTCTATAAAGCTTTTAGAGTAATTTTTCTTAGGGTATGTCGTGAAACGGTAGGGTAGCACTTTGCCCAACTAGATATTCACTTTCCGAGTCTACTTATTTCACATTTGTTCCCTTTTTGTCACCTCATCTGTAGGAAAAATAATTTTCTTTATAAGAGCAAAGCGTTTAAGCTATTGTTCACCATTCATCTTCTCTGTTTTAAGCTTTGGAAGAGAAGGGATCCTTTATTACATTTGGAATAAGTACTAATTTGTCCACTACCCCAACATGTCAGGGCCTCCTGCGTGGGTCAAGTATTGTGTGAGGCCCCCAGAACGCAAGCTGTTTCTTGGAAAAAACTGGTATGGGCAAATTATATTGTTTATTGAGAGCTTCAGGATAAAGTTGTTTAGTTCAGTTTGTATATTCAGTCCAGTTTACTTTTTTACATATTTGGAGTAAGGTGCCATTTTTAACTTAAATTTTAAAACAATCTTTGGGGCCTAGCTTTGATGTAAGCAAATTTTTATGCTTGGTCCTGCATGCTTTAAAAGGTGCGCATGTTATAGTTCACAGCATTGGTTTATTGTATACCTTAAGTTTATGCAATATGTCACTTATATCTTAAAAAAACTGGGAAAAGTAAATAAAAATAAATGGAGAAAAAGCAGTGATTTATTTTGGTGCTTTTCTAATTAGTTTTTCCTGCCCCATCAGAAAATAGATTATTTGGCAGTGGTAATTAAAGCAGTTAGTTGGGAAATTTTCATTTTATCACACTTGGATTTGGAGAGTTTAGATGTAAATAGATACATATACATGTATTTTTTTAAAAAACTATTTTAATGAAATGTAAATTTTTAGATGCTTACTCAATTTACTAAATACTTGTGTGAAGCACTCTGTATCAGGTACTTAACACATTCTGATAACAACCTTGTGAGCTAAGTACAGTCTCATTGTCGCTTTCCAGACTAGTGAATTTGAGGTTAAAGAATCCCAGGGTCAGCCACATCTCATCCCGGAGCTGGGCCTGGGACTCGGAACTCCGGCCGGATTCCCGATGCATTCATCCAAGCTTTGCTCTGTTGCCTGTCTTCTGCATACAGTGCACTTTTAAAAGTCAAGGTGAACTTTTAGATGATAGTTTCTTGGTTTTCATTTCCTCTTCCAATTCATACAAAATTGGAAAAAGAACAAGTGATTCAGCTTTTCAAGTACCAAATGATTTTTAAATTTGGAGTAAGGTCAGAGGGTCTCATTCTTTGTGTATTGGCACAGCACGCTGCTGCTTTTTAAAAATCTGGACTATCAATTGAAAAGTGTAATGTATACATTTGTGAAAATTTTCTCTCAAACTGTAGTGTCAAGAAAAGTTGTGGGTCTTCCTGAATAGCTGATGTGGGTTTTTTCTTTGTGTTTGGAGAACATTGTTTTGGCTGCTGTGAAACTCGGTATTGAACTT